GAATTATAAATAGAATTAATAATAAATTAAATTAATTAATATAAATTACTTATTCGCCCGATTTAGTAGTGATCGGCAATTACTGCGCCACGTGCTGCGGCTGCGCCATATACTGCGCCACGTCTACTGCGCCACACGAATAAGCTAATTGGTTACAATATAGATAAAAGATAAGACTATACTATAATATTTTAAATAATAATAATAATACATTACTTTCTTTTATATTTTATGAAAATTAGAAAATTTTATTATATACTTTATTTCAAAGAGTTTTCATATAATATACAATAACTTTTATTTATTATAAGATAAGTTATATATTAGAATTTAACAGTCTGAAGAATTATTTCTTTTTTATCTACTTGCTATAACTTTGTTATTTATATCACACATATAACTTTTTTTTTATATATTTTCTTTTGCTTTTTATTTGTCTATCTTTTATAATATGAGAGTTATAATTTACTTTTCTATTCAACTTGTTATAAGTCATAATATTAATAGTTAGATTGCTATTCTCACCTAGTCAAGTATAAAATATTTTCTTATTATACTTCAGCTTCTTCTTTTTAAATAATATTTATAATAGCTATCAAAAGTAATACAATACTTAAATTTTTTACTAATTATAATTAGTAAAAATTTAAGCATTATATTACTTTTGATGACTATTATATATTATAGTAATTATATTAATAAAATATTAAATATTAATATAAATTTAAAAAGAAAAGAATGATTATAAATTAAAAAAAAAGAAAAAAGAATTTGAAAAAATTAAAAAAAAGAAGAAACTAAGCAAAATATGAATTATAATAAAACTAAATATGAATATAATAAATATGAATTTTAGAATAAATTCAGAATAAGAAAAAAAATATTAAATATTATATTATTTATGTAATATAAATATTTTTTAAATATTTTATTATCTATAATTAATTCTAAAATAATTCTAATAATATTTTAATAAATATATTTAGCAATATTCTAATAATATCTCAATAAATATACTGAATTATTTTTAGAAATTTTTCAAAAATATTTTATTTAAATATATTAAAACATTTTTATTAAAATATAACATATTAAATAAATAAATACTTGTTTCCACGGTGTCCAGTTTTACATTTAACTTTAGTCATTTACATATCGATATTATCCGATTGCTGTTGCTGACTCGTAGTAGTAAATATTGACCTTCTCTTTTGTATTGGTCGATTATCGCTTGACTTACTGCAAACACTTTTAGCAAGTCGCTCTCTTGATTCATTTGCTCAGAGGGGAATTTATTAGCTTTATTTGAAAAAAAATATTTTAAATAAACATATGATAAAAAAAAGCGTCAAATTTTAACTAACCATCATCTTAAATCAGTGCCTTCGATTTTCATTCCATTCTTTTTTTTTCGTACTACAATTTGACATAATGCAAGTCTATATTATACTAATACTATATATTTTATATATATCTCTTTCTCAAAAAGTTTAATATTAATAAAATCACCCCTAATTAGATTGATTATTATTGTGTGTGTTATAAATAAGTTTTTAGAAAACAATTCTCTATTAGTTTTCATTTTTTCTACCAGATAATATAATGATTTTTTTTATAATCCTTTATTATAATACACTTTATTGATAGGTTCACCATTCTTCTTGCGCAAATTCTGAAATTGTGGCTCTAATTTTTTTGTATCAATCTCGGCTCGCTGTGGGAAAACAGCAATTGCAAGTGGAAGCGTGGTGAATGCGGATAGAGTTATTAGTCCTTTATTTTGTGTTATAAATTACTTGATTAATTATTATTAAAGAAACAAATAAAAAATAAATAAAAAATGATTTATTTTACGATACCAAAATTCATTGGTAACAGAAGTCTAGGATTCCTTCTCAGAAAACTTGTTTTTTCTAATTGTGATAGTACCAGTGGTGGGATGGTAAGAACCGGTGAGTTATTTAGGATTCGGGATATTGCGACCTTTTATAAAATAGAAATGAAGATTTCACGTCATTTTCTCGAACAATAATATTTTATATATTAAAAAAAACCAGAAAACTAACCTGTTTGACAGCTGAAGCTCCTGCTGCTTTGGATTTACCCAATACATTACCGTCCTCATCGTATACATCAATCCCACTCCTTTATAAAAGAAACAATTAATCCAATCCATATCACGCAAATAAACGCCATCGATTACATAAGCAAATAAATTTACCTAATCTCTTTTAATCTCATCAAGTAAACATTAACAGTCCCGGCGCTAGCAACAGCCGCAAAAGGCACCAGACGACTCAATAAATTTCGAGTTGCCGGTTTCACAAATCTTAGCCGAGGTACTAATTGTGTGAGTCCTACTGCTAACCCGCATGATGTTGTTACTGCTGATACGTAGGCGACTATTTATTTTTTTTATTGACCGTTGATCGCATATTAATTAAATAATTATTGTGAATGAATAATCTCACGTAATGGAAGACAAGATTAAAACTTACAAAATGTCTCTTTATAATCCATTTTTATGGTTTTGTTAGCATTCGAATAATTAAATGCTACGTTTATACTTTGATTTGCCCATTGCCAAAATATCATACTTTTCATCTATCATTTTATTATTTATGCATTCATATATTAGAGAAAAAAAGAGATACGAATATTCAATAATTAACTTACACTCGGATTAGGCATCAACATTCCAGCCACAATTACAAGATTAGTAGGTACAAAACAAGACATACGAAATGGTAAGAACACAGCCTCGCCTGTATCCGGATGGATAGTTGATTCCACGACTTTTTCAATGAATAAAAAAATAATATATTGAATTAAAAAATTATTTTATTGTCTCGTTCGTAAATCATTTGCACATACTTTTTTTAGCTCGCCATAATTTTTCTGGATCTACACCAGCCATAATTTTCCCTGTTTGATAGTCGTTGATTAATTTCTTTGCATCGTCGAGACCTTTTCGTGAGATAAATAATGTTCTATATCAACAACACAAAACAAATCCGAAGCCAAATCCAAATCCAAATACGAATACATACAATCAATTAATTCCATTCGAAGATTATTCTAAACCAGTAAAATTTATTGAGATCATTAAATACCTCGGATCCGTGATCTCTATAAAGTGCCTTACGCGCCCAAAATATGTGGATTGGTCGTATCGTGGTTTAGCTTTTTTTTAAAGATAAAAGAAATAAATCGAGATACATCTGTTTATTATTACTAGTAACGATATTATTATTATGATCATAATCATTTGTCATATTATTAGTATTACTATTCTCATTTTTTATTGCTAAGTGTTATGATTATTGTTATTATTATTATTATTATTATTATTATTATTATTATTATTATTATTATTATTATTATTATTATTATTATTATTATTATCATTATCGTTATAAGAAAATCAACATACAAAGATCAACTCTGTTAATTCTATTTCTATCCATCGCTGTTACAATTTCCGCTGCAAGGTTATTACTACTGGTAGTCATTTATGTTTTTATTTTTATTTTAAAAAATCGAAAAAAAGAAAGAAAGAATAAAATCCTAAAAATTTTGAAAATTTGAAAGTTTGAAATATGTTCAATGATTCGATAATAAGAAAATAGAATAAATTTTTCGGTGTCTTTCTAAGCCCATCATTTTCTATATTTATATGGAAATAATTAATCTATTATCATCAAAAAATGTGAAAGGAAACGAGGAAGAGATATAGATAGATCTTAGATCTCTATTTTGATTATTTATTGCTATTGTTATTTTAAGAATGTAACAAAAATAAAATCTGCTTTTCACACCACTTATGTTGTGTTACGTTTTTCTACCTCATCTGTGAAAAAGAGATTCTTTGAAAATCGGTAGATTTTTTTGACATGGGATATCTCCAGAAAAACAATTCTTTATAGGGCTGATCAAAATTTTTGCTGAACTTTATAATTGGAATTTGCTTTAACATTTCAGGTTTTAAACATTTATTTATATCGATATAATATACAAGTCGACCTTAAAAAACAAAAATGGCCAAGATGGTTCATGATTCCCTATAGTGGCAACGAAATTTATGGTGTCGTTATAGAGTTTGACGTGTAATTCTGAATTGAGAGTATCAGGGCATAAAATGCCTTTAAATTCGCTTCTCTTCTAATTAGCACGCGTATACACAATTCGCAAAACGCAATTCTCTCGAGGTCTAGAATTGCTTTCAACTCTAAAATTATGTCTGGTGAGGGAATTAGTCGCGAAAAGAAAAGAAAAGCAGAAATTTTGATGTTTTGTTTGTCTGAACTATTCCTTACTATTCAAAAATATTTGTAAGCATGATCGCTTTAAAGTGCATTGTGCAAAAAAATGTAAGAGACTACGAATTACCCAAAGTTTAAAAATAATCACGCGATTATATAAGTTGCACCATACCATATTTTCAGATACCAAAAACAGAATTTCCGTGAACTAGCACAGTTTCCCGAAAAGCAATGGAAGAATTCTTTGAGGAAGAATTTTATTTACAAGCTTCTCGTCCAGCTCCACCTCCACCTTCACCTACTAGTACCACATGTAGTCCGCGAAAATCTTCATTTACTAGTACTAATGACATTAATTATCACCTTCCATACTCTTTTCCCGCAACATTATTTCACCGTACACTTAATCCACGCATCAATAATAAACATCAAGATGTGGCAAGGGCAAAAATAAAAAGTGCTATTGAGCGTGAGCTAAGGGAAGAAAAATTGAGAGATGCCGCTTGCAGAGGGGATTGTGATAAAAGTACGTGAATTAGAAATAAATACCAATTACGAAATATCTAAGAACACTCGATATTTAATATTATGAACTTTTTAGTTATGAATTTACTTGCATTGAAACCGGTGCCTGATATAAATCAAGCAGATGACAAAGGCCGAACACCATTGCATTTTGCATGTGCTGGTGGTCATATTGACGCGGTAAAATTATTGATTGCACATGGAGCAAATGTAAATGCTGATGCTGATGTTGTTGGGAATAGACCATTGCATTTAGGTGAGAGAAGATTATTTCACAGGATAGTCAATAATTTTTCCTATTAAATTGATTTTCTTTTAGCTGTGATTTCGAATAAATTAGAATGTGTAGTTGCATTATTGGAAGCAGGTAATTATTACTATTACTACTACTATTATGATTATGATTATGATTATGATTATTATTTTTTAATTTATTCATTTAGGTGCAAAAATATGTGCTGATGATGCTTTCGAAAGAACACCTCTTTCTGTCGCTCGATCACGACTAAGCATTCTTATGAAAAATATATTGTCAAATGCATCTTTTTCATCTTCAAATTTAAATGCGACTACAACAAATTATATTAATAATAATTATTCTAATATAGATATAGACATTCATAAAAATAAGAATAGTGATAGCAGTGCTGATAATATGATTGATCAAGCGATTGAAGAAAGAGAAGTGTTTCGTCAAGTTTTACAGGTTTGAAATATATTAAATTGATTTTAGTTTTCGTTTTTTGATCGGTTATAACATGATTATTGTTTTTTTTTGTAGATTACAAAAATACTGAGACATTATATATCACTTCAGAATGATTCTACTGTTGTTATTGATCAAGAGAAAAATGAACATGAAGATAATATGATGTCAGAAGATCTTGATAGCCAAGATACTCATAATAATTCGAAAACATCATCAATAACACGTTGTCCTTATTCAACTGTGGAAACTTTGGATAGTTTGACCGAACAGTTATCGCGATTGGCAATGACTAGCGAAGAGAATAATAGTAGTGAGGCAAATAGAAATAATATCATAGATTCTGATTCTCATTTTCATAATCAATCGTTAACAACGACAACGACGACGATGACTACAACTGCAAGAACTAAGACAATGGAAATACCGTCAAAATTTTTATCTGCACAAGATGCGAATGTATTGAATCAAGTTCAAAGTGTTTTGGATACCTTGATAATACAGAATAAGATATAAGTATTTTGTCTGCAAATTTAAAACTCGTAATAACGTTTTGCGCTTTGATTCTGCTTATTAGATTTGATTAATTATTTATTGCTTCGAAATATCTGTGTGTAATCCTACAGAGGAATGAATATCATGTTAAATCTTTCATTTAATTAGATTAAGGAGCATGGATTTTTACTACTTTATTATATGTCTTAATTTATAAAACAAAAAATAAAATAAAATTAGGAGTTCAATTCAAGCGTAAAAATTATAACTCGTGAAGGGACTTACAATGCAAATTCATTCATTAGTGGTCTTAGGAATTAATTTCTAGATATTCATTTATACGTTTCCATATTTTTATTCTATCCAAAATTTTTTCTTCTAAATGATTTTCAATATGTTTTTCCCAAAGTTCCGCAACAAATTTCACACTTTCAATCTGATCAATTTTCAAAGTCCCACCTTGAAGCAAGTTCCGTTTATAGATTAAATCCCGATTATATTTTTCTAAGATTCGAGTACAATAAAGATTAGATAAAGGAATTGAGATTTCGGCTATCCCTCCTCCTTTTTCATCATTTTTCAAGAGATTTTGAATATTTGAAGTTTTTGAAGGCGAAGACGAAGAATTGGCTTTCTTTTTGGATTTTGAGGATGACTTCTTTTTGGTTGCTGAAGGGGAGGGTGAAATTGTTTTCGCGCTATTATTATCGTTCGTTATAACATCATTCTTGTGAACACCAATTAATCGATTTGATCTCTCATAAATTCCGTGCATTTCCTTTAGGATCTTTTCAAATTCATCCAAAGACTGATGAATTTTCAAAAGAATTGACTCAATTTCACACGATTGTTTGTAGATTAATGTGTGCAGCAGTTTCTCATTGAGAAGGGGATCATCATCATCACGGATTGAGTTTAGATTCGAAACAAGAAATGAGGTTTTTGATGAGAGAAGAAATAGCGTGTCTTGACGCTGTGAATTTATATTTTGTAACGAATTGAATAAAACACGAGATTTTGTGTGTGTTTGTGACCAAAGTGTACACAGTGTGCTCAGATTTATTAAATGGGTAATGTGTTGTGGAGTCAAATGTGAAGTAGACATTTTTGGATTTCGTTATTTGTGGAAGCGTGTTGAGTGAATTATTGAGCGAATTATTGTGGAATTCGCTTACTTTGATTTGTGAAGGCGTATTGAGTGAATTATGTGAGATTCGCTTATTTTGACTTGTGAGAGCATGTTGAATTATTGAGTGAGTCATTGCTATTAAATTCTAAGACGATCTCATTAATTACATCAAAAGTTAATTACATGCTCATTGGTTATTTATCGGGGTCCACTAAAGCCGGGTAGTATCATGTGATTTTGGATTCAATCCGGATCCAAATCATGTGAAAAATACACATGATAAGTAATGTGTAAAAATACACGTGATAAGTAATGATTGGCTGAATAATTTTGATCAACAGATGACCATAATATTGATCGATTAACAATTGAGATTTATTTTTTTGTAAAAAATAATAATAATAAATATAATTATAAAATTAATTAATTTATAAAATAATAAATTATTATATTATAATTTTAAAAATTGGATTCAATGACTTATTTAAACATGTAACAAATATTTTAGTAATATCATTATCATCTTCATCCTTAATTTCCTAATACTTGTCTCATACTTTTTCTAAAAGCTCATCTATCTATAATCTTTATATCTCTGCCTCTCTCTTCACTTGAGTCTGAATAGGCTCAAATATTTTGATCATTTCATGATATTTATATATTTCAAAACCAATCTCTGTGAATATTTATTAGAATTTTTTCTAAATATCAATCATTAGTAACTTATTAGGATCAAAAAGATGTTTATGAAGGATATATCAACAAGAAAGTAGATAGTAATAAAAGAATATACAAGAGCATGCTGATAATATTAGATTTGGTAGTGGTTTTTCTTTCATGATTCTTGTACTTATAATAATAGTCTTATCTATAATCAGTTTTTGAATGGAATAGAAAAATTTGTAAACTTTCTTCAGAATCTCATTATCAAGATCAACTATGAAAATTCATTTTTGATAGAAATTGAAAATAGTCTTTTCAGAGTCAAGTTGCCTTTTACTATTAAGATTAGTGATCTTGTAACATATTCCTAATATAATACAAGTGTTTGATAAGTAGAGAATTACAATAAAAAATATTATGAAGCAAGTATGATATTTATAAAATCAAATTCTTTAGCTATTATTCTTTTAAGCTTATTATAAAAGAACTTAATAGATTAGTTAAGATAACTTATAATAAGAGAGATAAATATTATCACATCTAAAGTATTCATTTTTTCATATTTTTGATATAATTTTAATTAATATAATTAATGATATCAAATACAGAACAAGTAATAATAGTATTATAAATGATCTTTTTATAGCCAATTCTCATTTATTTATGTATGATCAAGACTAATTGATTATGTATTGCTAAATGATAGATCTTGTACAGTTATGTATATATCACATGTATGATACAAAGAATTACATCATAATTTTGTTTACCATGTATAATTTTCAGAAAAATATTCATAATACTATTAATCTTCATGCTACTCTGATCAGAGAGTATATATCAAGAGTATCAATGAGATATAAGTCTATGAATTATCTTTAATGCTTTAGTAACTGTATCATTATTTTACTGCTTATAAGAAAATAAGCATTAATATTTCAGCATTTATGATTATCATAAACATACAATGTGAAGAGATGTTATAAATATTTATTGATATTATATATGAAGTCTATAAGTATTAGTCATCCAAAAAGTTGCAATTTCTCTAACTGTCTGGAATTCACAAAAATAAAATCTTGAAATAATTTTTATATGATGTTATATATGCCTGTATATATATTATTTTGTATTGAGAAGCATTCAACTTGATAATTTTTGCTTATTAAAAAATTGAGTATATTTTTAATATTAACTTCTAGATCATATTTATTAATAAGATAAGCTATTAGCAATCTGCATAACTTTTATTAGATATTTATAACTTCAATTCTGCATAAATTTTGAATTATAATATTAAGATTTTCTTTATTCATAATCTCTTAACTGTAGCTATGATGATAAGCAAAGTGCATAATTTGCTTACTTCATTAGCTACTAATTTTTTAATGATTTTAAATCACTTAATCTTATTATTATTATTATTAATTAAATATGTATAATTTGATATATTTTTAAAATACTTAATTTTAATTATTTGAAAAGCAGTAATATGTGTTATCTTAATTTTTATGTTACATTCATCAGAATTATGCTTATTTATTTTTCTTTATTTTTCTATGAAAATATCTTCTTTACATATATTTGATTTATTATATTTTGCAAGATAACAGATATAAATGATCCAAAAATTATTATTGACACACTTCTAATTATTATATCATGTTCATATATTAAAAACAAGTAACTACAAGTTCTTATGAAATTCTTTTTCTGAGATCTTAAATGATATATTAATATTAAATAACTTTATATATTTTTAATTAATCACTTATAACATAATTAAAATAAAAATATTAAAAAACTTAAATAGAAATGATAAATAAATATAAAATAATAGAATGAGAAAGTTAACAAATTGAACTAGAAAAAAAAACAAATAAAAAATTATAAAAATGTTGAGTATATGTATTGAATAGTGATGGAAGCTGCAACTAGTCACAACTCTATCACAATTTTCTGATTGACTGCTGCAACTATCACAATTTTCTGATTAACTATCGCAAGCTGTAACTAGTTGAGAAGCTATCTTTAGTATTAAATGAGTATGTGATAGAGAAATGAAATGAAGAGTATATAATGTTAGAAATAGCAAGTATGCATAGAATTGATTTCTTTATGTATTATTATTATAATACTTATAAAGAATATATGATATTAGAAGTGATAAGTTATTATAACACTTATAGCTTGTATTTGACACCAAAAATATATTCTTAATAATCTTAGCCCCTACCCGGCTTTAGTGTTCCTCTATTTATGGTAATGTGGGACTACATTAAGGTTATGCTTGTCAAAAATTATTGTAAAGTTGACATATAACTTTTGCGCTCGAATTGGAAAAAGTTTGAACCTAAGAAGTCGTCCGACATAAAAAAAAATCAGCGCAGCATGAATAATCAAAAATTTATTTGGGAAGCAAAATTTTATATAATAATAAAAGGCATTGATAAATGATTATATGATGATAATAATTGTAAATGCTGTTGTATGTATGTATTTAAATTAATATAGAATGAAGCGATGCTGGAATAGAATATGATGATGTTTATGATGAATAATTAACAATGTATAATTATTATTATTATTATTATTATTATTTTCTAAATAAATTAATAATATATTATTATTATTATTATTATTATTGCAAAGTGTCCAATTTCATTCTATACTCATTCCAAGCCCACCACTCTTGAGTCCATCCTTTCGCCCAAACGACTCCAAGAAAAACCAGATGATTATCTTCATTATTAACAGGTAAATTATGATTACTGTTATTAATATAATTATTCAAACTGGAATTGAGATTTTTGTTGGTGTTACTTTCATCGACCGTATCGCTACTACCGTCATTACTCTCTCCATCGGCTTGACTGTTATTTTCAGTTTCTTCTTGGGGATAAGGAGGAGAAGGATCATCTTGTGTATCAAGAGAACTAATGACGGGAATCTCATTGATACTGGCAGCGCGACTGCCGTTAATTTGTGCAGTTCCATTAATACTGCTACTATCAGATGCAGCTGTACGATATTCCAAACGAAAAACAAATTCTTGTGCGTAGATTACTAATTTTTGTCCACCCGCCAATCGAAACATGTCGTCCAATGCTTTGACTCTTGGATTAAAGGACCCTACTAGAGATGCAATATCTACTCCGGTCACTTGTACACCATCAATTTCTAGCCGAATTCCATTCAACGCATCGCGCATATTCCAGCCTGTTGTCATTAGACGCGACAATTGAATCTGAGTATTTTCGCCACAAATTTCGCCCAAGGTTTGAAGAGCTTTTTGATCGTGATCATTGAGGAATTCAGTATGAAACTGTATGGTAGCATCTGAATTGTCCAATTCTAGAGTAAGCACCGCTCCCGTGAAAAATTCAACAGCAGATGGTCCTTCAAGTTTTGATTTGATAAAATCTTTATGTATTGGTACATCGCGAAGCGATAAAAGAATTTTGTCCTGGGAAGTGAAAGGATCTTTGTAGCGTAGTGGTGTTGGTGTTTCTGCTTGCAACAGTTGCGCAAGTCGGGCAAGGCCATAGAAACGGGCATCCTCCAATAAGCTTTCACGAAATAGATCAAGTGACATTCCAGGTGGCAAATTAACAGAAGATAATGGAAATATGGTATATCCACGAAGATATCTTAGAATTACTTCAAAAAGTCTAGGATCACGATCTATTGTAATTTCTTTGCATATCGATGGATTTTTATTCGTACTATTACTAGTGTCATTACTATTGGTTTTATCCGCAACATTCGGTCTTTCTGCATTACTTACTATAGATTCTGAAAGAGAATTGTCACCAATGACAACATTCTTTTCAGCGTCATTTTTTATTTCTAAAGTGGGAGTGGTGGTGATATTAGATTCAACTGTGCTTGCTACAAGGGGATTAATTTTGGATGCGGTTGTTGTTTCTTCTGAAACCTCCTCGCCCAAGAAAGTTTGCGTAAAGAAATTAGGAGAATCACAGGTTATTGATGAGCGATACAATCGAAAAGTTTGTTCGCCTACGTGAACAATGTATGAATTCATAATGTCAATCGAGAGGTTAGAGAAATTGAAGTTTGTAGATTTATTAGGTGACATTTGTTGGGGTAAAAAAAGACACAATGATAATAATAAGCGGTAAAATTTATTTTACTTGAGAAATGGGAGAATCTGTATCACCGTAGAAACTGGTCCAACATCCGATAGATTTGAGATCTAAAAAAATAATGTAGACGTTTATTTTAGTAAATAAAAAAAATGTTTAGTGGTTTCGTGACGCGTTTTCACATTACAGGACGCTCTTTACTTACTCTCTATAATAAAGTTGCATACCGACTCTTATCTACCACCAACACTATTTCTAAGAATATTCCCGGAATTTCTTTTGAACAAGAGGTTAACCTCAGTAATAACCATTTAAATGATAAATATTTTCTAGAAAGATATGACCAAAGAAAGCAATTACATTATGCAAGACAAGCGAGAGACGCACAAGTACCTCTTGGTGGTTTGGTTGATTTGAATGACGTGTAAGACATGAAAATAGCATCCATTCCAACTCTTTAAATTCAAAATATTTCAATATTCTTTTTGCTGCGTAAAACTTTACTCAAAAAAGCGCTTTCTTTAAATACATTATAATAATTTAATATAAAGATTTATTAATAATGAAGTAAACCTAAATTATACGAAAGTTTATGGTTTTGATTATGACTACACTCTGGCAAACTATACCGAGAATTTATCAAGAGCAATTTATCGGGCTTTACGATACCTCCTCATTAAACAGTTTAATTACCCTAAAGGACTTGAATCTCTTGATTTTGATCAGGATTTTGCTATCAGGGGCTTGCATTACGGTAAAATAATTATGCATGTTAGTGTTAGTTACTGTGTGTGCGCGCGCGCTTGTTAATCAATATGATTAAATCAGTTTTTAATATATATTTATATATCTATATATGTTAGACATGCAAACAGGATGGCTAATGAAAATTGACGCTTTTTCAAATGTGCAAATGAATACAATCTATTGTAAGTAATTGAATCGAAATTAATTACACGCGTATTTATAATATATGAAATTGCTAGCTAGTCCTTAATTTATAGTTGGTAGAGAGCCTCTAAAAGATATTCAAGAACTACATGAAATTCATAAGGGTAAATTCTTTTTCTAAATTATTTCTTATACACTCTTAAATTATTGATATTTTTACTTTTTTTATGTCAGGAGTGCATATATCACAAGAGTATTTAAACGACATGTATCAACTTAATGATCTCTTTAGTATACCTGAAGCGTGTCTTTTAGCTGATGTGATTCAATATTTTAATGATCATGATGTAAAGTAAGTCTTTTTCATGCTAATTTCATTTTTAATATGTTATGGATCCTTGTAATTTTCAACGGGACTTGCTTTAATGTAGTACAGATTTCATCCACGTTATCTTGTTGAAGACGTTCGTGCTGCAGCAAGGATAATTCATTTGGGTACATCTCATGATGGAATTGGTGGACAATTACATCACATGATCATCAATCATATCCCCGAGTTTTTGGAGAAAGCACCTCGACTAGTGAAATACCTAGAGAAGTTGAGAACACATGGAAAAAAATTGTTCTTGTTAACGAATAGTAGCTTTGGTTTCGTGTAAATTTTATTCTTTTTACTATTATGATGACGATGATGATGACGATGATTATGATATTTATTTGTGTTTTTCCAATTGATTTACATTAGTGACAAAGGATTAAGTTATATTACCGGGAGTGCAGATTGGCGTTCACTTTTTGACGTCATAATCTGTTCTGCTGATAAACCGAGATTCTATACAACGCGACGTCCATTTAGACGTGTATCAGCACCCAACTGGAGTATTGTAGATAAATTCGAGAAGGGAAATGTATATCAGGGTGGAAATATGATGGACTTTAGTAAATTTACCGGATGGCAGGGGTATGTACATTCTATGCTTTTAATTGATTTGGAGTTATTATATTAATGCATTTTTCGGTCTTTACAAGTTCGAGTATTATGTATATTGGTGATCATGTTTATTCAGATTTAGTATCACCCACTCTGCAACAGGGCTGGCGTACTGTACGTATTATTTAAAAATAATCTATAATTATAGGTAACCTTTAATAAATGACACATTTTCAATTTAGGGGTGTGTAATACGTGAACTCTCAAGAGAAATCTCTATTCGTAATCTACCGACTTCTCGATTCAGCCTTTCATGGCTCTTAAACTTAGAGTCATTAATAAGAGAAGCGCAGGCTGCTTCAATCGACCAACAGCATCGAGAGAAACTTCAATTGTTACTAAATGAATGGCGCTCAGAAAGAAAGGAATTACGAACTTTATTGAAACGGGTGTTTAATCCACAATTTGGAAGTGTGTTCAGAACGCATCACAATCCGACTTTCTTTGCAAATAAAATTAGAAAATTCGCAGATCTGTAAGTTTTATTTCTTTTAACGCATAACATAAAAGAAGTTAATTTCTTTTTTACACAAAACAAAACCATCATCATAATAGATATACTTCGAATGTAGAAAACTTTAATAATTATCCACTTGATTACATTTTTTATCCGGAGAGAGCGTATCTACCACAGTATGTTTTTTTTTACTATTACTACTTTACCGTTCATCGCATTTAATAATTTTTTTGATGATTTATAGTGAAGGATTAGTAGAGACATTCTTTGACCCCGGACAAAGAATGTAGAAATGATCTATAAAAGCCGCAGATTTTTTAATAGATGTAAAGGGATGTTGTTAGTACTTTTTGATGTATTTTACGTATAAAAAACTATACAACCAATAGATTTAAATAGTGACTAGATAATTTAACGATGTTCACCGATTATGTAATAACATGACTTTTTCACAGATTTATCCCTTACCGTTACCTTAGAGTTGGGTCATCATAAGCTTTAATTTATATTTCTAAATTTGTTAATCGTTATTACATTAGCACAATATTGCAAAAATGAAATTACTCCTAATATTAAACTAAAAGAATGTCAAAATTTAACCCTCTTTGCACAATTCTCGTAACGGTTATCGAGGGTAAATAATATTTTATCCTAATAAAATTACCGTGTTTTTCTCGTTTCGAAAGCTAATGCTCAATAAACTAGACTTTTGTTCAATCAGGTCGCTATTTTCCACAGAGCCCGACCGACAAAATATTTGTCGAATGCCGTTTCACCGACGAAATTCTCTCAACAATTAGCCCAGACTCCAGCTCAATGCTACGCACAGACGCGGTTGAGCAACTAAATTTTCCGATATGGGATACGGAACTCGCATGGGAAGTTGATCAAAAAACGTTACATAATCTTCGTTCACAATGGGCTCATCTGAAGCTACAATGTTTTTCGGTAGGCAATAGTAGCAGAAATGAATTATTTGGATATGCAATGCTGGATATTAGAACAGCCGCCGATAGACCTGGAAAAGATTTTTGGGTTTCATTAATTAACAACAGCAACAATAATAATACACGTACTCGAGGTAATCGCCCGGAAATAAAGATATCGTTTTGTATTTTGGCGAATTTATCTCCTCCAGTAACGCCAGGAGGATACATTCCTAGCCCACTCGGAAAATTTGTTGAATATAATCACACTCGGCAGGAGGGATCCGAAGAATCGAAACAGTCGGGAAAGTTGAAAGAGGATGGATATTATCGTATTGGGAATGATGGATTTGATAGACTATTATTCTCAGTTACTATTAATTTTGGTGCAAATTTGCAAATGCTGCTTCAGGAATCTTCAGTCCACCACAATGCTCAAGATCTTGATGAATTTGATATGAAAATAATGAGTCATGGCTATTATTTTCAATACTTTCTTCTGGATAGAGTTGTGACCTCTTCCAGGTTTTATGATCTGGCACATCCTAATATTAAACCGGAATCTATGAGCTTCAAAATTGAATCGTCGCTGAAAGAGTTTAAAGAATTTTTGGAACAGGAATCCAAAGTAGTGATTAACCTGTATCATGATACACAAATAATTGGTTATGCTGAAATACCATTGACAGGTCTTTTTGATGCTCAAACAACTGAGCCTCGATCTCTGGATATAGTCTATCCTATGTACAATTCAAAGGGTGATTTGCCTCTATCTGCGGATCTGCAAACAGCCAGGATAGGTGTTTTTCTGATGATTCAGCGTGAAGAGGACGCCATGTACTATTTTGATAATACTCCAGATTCAGAGTCTTTGGTAGAACAGAATAGTGAGCATGATTATCGGATTTTGATTGAATTGGTATCCATTAAATTAAAAAAGCCAATACCAAACATTTATATTAGGTATAGTTATCCTGCCTTGGGCATCACTATGTACAAGTCTACACAGACTTTAAACTCTATTGAAGTAGGCGTAGATGCACCACTTTCTAACGGAATGAACACGATCGACGTAAAGATGACACCGCAAAGACTTGCCCGTTATCTTGAGGCGGTTCCCTTGCTTCTGGAATTATGGCAACGCGGCGAACAAAAAGATTCAGAGTTGGGTGTCGCTTCATTACATTTGGATGAAGTGTTCATGTCAAATCGCACCCGAGATGATAATATAAAAGCAGACATAATGCATTTCAAAACGTTAACACCCATAAGGTCCGCCGGATCGATTATACCACCTGAGATGGGAAGTATTATCGCATCGATTAGAGTAGAGGATTTTGGCGAAAATTCTAGTATGAAAGGCAATGATGATGATGATAACATTTCAGAAACAACAAAAATTGCAGATGAACATTCTATAATAAATGACACCACAAAACAAGGAATGGACACCGAAAATGTAGATATATTGGATACGAAATCATCGTCCACTAATGATGCCACTGTCAAGGAAGACAAAAGATCTAATAATCTACCAATTTCATCGTCACGTTTTCGTACGGAATTATTTCAACGAGCTTCCGAACACGCAAAATTCACACAAGAAATACTCTACCCAAAAAAAGAAGGGAAACGTCACAACAATCATCATTATCACCATAACTACGTTCGAAATAAAATCCAACAGATGAAATCAATCGATGCACAACTCCAGAATTCTATCCTCTATTTTCAAACACGCGATGAAAGTTTATTACGAGCCGAAAAAGATTTAGAACGACGATGGTTAGAACTTGATCGACAGTTTGAACAGCGTATACGCGATATGAAAGCACAGTTCGAGGCTGAATTATTTCAGAAATATAAGTTTTTGCGTGAACAAACTCCAACTGCTGAGGATACCATAAAAAATCTTAGATCGGAGAATGACCGTTTGCGCGCTCAGTTGGAGGTTAGTGAACGTGCTAAAAGCGAATACAAGTCACAATGGTTGAGGTCACTTCAGGTTATTGCTGAAATGAGTAATGATAATAACAACATTAATAATATTAATGGTAACCTTAATAATAATAATAATAATAATTATAATAAAAATAATGGTAACCTTAACGGTGCTAGTAGTAACGGGGCGTCTGATCTTCCTTGTGATATGGATCAATGTTTGTGGCAGATGCAACGGATGGCTGAAGAAGGACTCGAATCATTAAGCTATGAAAAGCTGTCGCTGCAATTACTGAAACAAGAACTTGAACTTCTGAGAGCTGAATAAACTAATGATTGATATCAATATAATTTTATATAATTTGAGTTTGAAAGGATAATGCTATAAATATATTCACAATTCTTTAAACTTTGTAAATTACGTGTATAGATTTTATTTAAACAACATAGAAATAAATTTAAAATTGTCATTTATTGTCCTCGTTTTCTAGCAATAGAAATATTAAATGTTGAAATATATTTTAACATTTCCAAATGATTATTTTGCAGGGTTTTCACGTTCACACGGAACAAACTTCAGCGTTTCTCCTTCATATCTAAGGATCGATAAAAAATGAAAAAGAATGAAATAACTAACGATAATATGTAATAACAGTTTGACCTATTTGCTCTGGTTTACGCTAAAATTTACCTATAATCAAAGAACAGTTCCTGACCGGGATCAAGATCGAATTGTGCATATAATCCAATACGATGTTCTCCGTTAACCAACGTAACTATTAAATGATATTAAAGGTAAATTTTTTAATATTTAAAAGTTTATTAATGAAGATTCTAATAGAACAAACTTTACCCCGTGCATATGAATTCGGATCTGATGAATGATTAACAAATCGAAATTTATTGCCCTTTCGAGTGGCATCTACCACTTTTTCTGTATAAATATATGAATAATATCATGGTAAACTAAAAAAAATCGCTAAAATTTTAACCAATCAAATAAATCTGTATTTTGCCTTTATTCAGATTGAACAAAAAACTAGTTCCTCGCTTATCATAAATTTTGCCACGCCTATCCGCCTCTGCTTGTGATATGACCTATGATTAAAGAAAAAGTTTTTTGTGAAATACATAACCTCGGCATCATCCGTCATTTTCAAATATTCAAACCACTCGGAATAAAAATGAAACTTTATATTGGTATCAAATTTACCTCACCCACGTATTCACCCAAAAATTCATTTTTCTTCACAGGCTCCTTCACGAAGAGTCCCCATCCAGCCACAGCAGATCTGCCAACTATGGTATGCTAAAGTTTATTCCAATAAATAGATAAAAAGAAAGATGCATAAGAGGAAGTCGAATTAAGATAATTATATGCCTCAATAAACTTAATATTCACCTTAGCTTTTCCTCTCTGAATAGCAGTATTCTTACAAGGACGCCGATCAAAATCATGTGCAGAAATCTGCAATTCTTTAATTTTGAAAATTTACGTGTTTTAACTTTTACCAAATATAATATCGAAATACAATAAACTTAATAAAAAATTTACCACAAGCTGAACACGAACATATATCCGGATCACATTCACGGTAGTTTGCAAAGCAAAAACAAGAACGAAGATTACACGATTTTAGGTTACTGCAATTGCATCCGAAAAATCTTCGAGAACCTATATACAAATAAAATGTTAATAATAGCGAAATAGAATAGATTCCATGTATATCGCTGAAAGATTGATAACTTACAATCATAATCACATCGACAGTATTTCTCACAGAAAAGGTTGCCTTGGACACATGGACAGGTGCTATCACATACCTTCCCTGGATGATCACAAGGACGATATTCTAAATGATCGGCGGCATCAATTTCTAAGATATGCAAATATAATTGATGAATTTTTATTTTTCATATACAACTTTTTCATAATAAAATATATATAGCATGCCTATTCCGGAAATTCTCGCCATAGTCCTTTTCAGTCTACCGCCACGCTGTTTCAATTCATCAAAAGAAGACTCGCCCAAAGTATCATCTTCATTTGGATTAGACTCGTAAAACTGCGCTCGTTGATATACCTAATAATTAAACATTCCATCCAGTCCTTTTACAATTTGATAGTATACAATTTGTATACCAAAAAATGCGCATTTTATTATCCAAAAGTTAAGTATACCTGCAGACATGATTTTGTTTTCATTATAACAGACACCGCACAATAATTCTTTTTGCCAAAAATCTCACGTGCCTTTTTATATAGGGCAATTTCCAACGAATTCCAATCCTCAAAAGATTTTGAACCTTGTTTATTTTCTTCATTCATGTGGCATAACGAACCACAGGGCTCGTTCTGTGTAATGAGCGGTGGCCTTTTTTTATTTTTAGTAGGACGAGATTCCGTTCCTATTTATTTTATATAGACTAAGAAAAATCAGGTTTGGGGGGTATTTAATATGAGCAAAATACAAGATTACCATGCAGTCCACAATCGTACACATAACATCTACGACACCATAAACTTGCATAAGAACGCATCATTGTTTCAGCCATTACAAAATCTGGTTGACTAAAAAAATTCTCAATAAAAAGTATTATTTACATAAAAAAAAATTAGCAAAAAAAAAAATAGTAACATACTTGTCTACATTCGTATTAACAATTGCAAAGGATTCCTGATTAGATTTATCAGTTGATGTTTTCTCTAGATAACTGCAAATTCATAATGATCCGCACTACTTAATATACTATATTATCATCATTTAATATAATCACTATCTCACAAAAGGTAAATATCAATAAAAATTTACCCACTCAGCAAATTTTTAGCGCTCGTTTTAAGAATTTTTTCCGATGCTTTTAAAAGCATTTCAGCCAGCGCAATTTGTTCCTGTTCACTTTTATTGTCAATTTCGTCAACATTGATGGGTTGTTTTGTTTCTCTTGATTTTGATAGTGTCTTGCATAAGGACAATCCTCTGCTAGCAGCACAATTCTCGAGAACATTAATCGATATATTCTTTTGTTCGAATAAACTACGTAGCGTATTAAAAGCAATTATTTCTCCTAATTATTGTTTTTTAATATATAATTAATTAGTCGATTACTGAGTGTAAGTTTTCGATAAATGAAATATTAGAATCATGAAGTCAACCTTCTAAGTCATGAGTTTTTTCTCCAACGATTATATCGTCATAAAAATCCATATAATTAATTTCCTCTTCATTATCATCCTCTTCACCAAAATAATGAAGATGTCGTAGTACGGGGTCGTCTTCTGTCTAATAGTTATGTATACTATAAATCAAAGTCAAAGAAAAACAAATTCATTGTGTCTATACCTTTGAGCTATGTGGAATTGGTGTCCATAACGTGTATCGCGGTAATGGTTTCCAATTATTGAGCGAGATAGAAGTAAATTGTTCATTATTTTTCACTAGCGGCCCATTGTGGACACTACTCTAATATACATTTAAAATCGTTCTATCATTATTACTTCTATTTTCAATAATAAAGCCATATGATTTATTTACTTGAACAATAAATTCACTAGAGTTGAGCCTCATTTTCTTCTCAGCCGCGCCCTTTGCTTTTTTCTTTTGTGAGGGATTATTAGCTGCTTTACTACGTTTTGTTTCTTGCGAGGGATAAATAACCCCGTGAGACCCTATGAAGGGCTTTATTTGTTGTAAAACTCTTCTGTTGTGACGAAGATCATTAATTTTTTGGTTGTTTTCTAGAAACATTTTCTGAGAAAGTTGGATAATGCATTTGATTAAATTAATAAGACTATAGAGTTAGGTCAAAAGAAAAATAGCAATTACTTGAGATTCTATTAATTTATTGTTATAGAATTCCTGGCGTATTCTATGATATTCTTCGTCGACATATGCAAGAAGCTGTTTCTCCATTTTCGTATGTTCGAACAATTTGAAAACGCGGTTTTTTGATCCACTTAAATAATAATCCAAACCCAGCGTTTTAGATGTTTTTTTTTGATTTTTTGACCAATCAAAATTTAACGGGACAATTTGATAATTCACCGAGATCAACAAATTTTTGTGCAAAAATGTGTCTTTTTAAAAAAGTTCCTATGAAAAAGTCTGAAAGTGGCCTGACTTCAATTGTTGAATTTTCCCTAAAAACAAATGTCAGATAAGCTGGAATTTTTAAAAGTCTTTCCAATTCTCGCTGAAGAATTTCTTGACATAGCGCGGGAGTATAAATTTCCTGCGGCGTCTGTCGAATGGATAAAGAAAGTCAGCTTAGCTTTTAAAATTATTCTCTTCGTTGATATTAAATATATAAAAGCAGACTACTAAATATAATGTGTATATTTGATTGATCACTTTAGAATATTTACCACAATGTTCCTGGAGGTGAAATTGTTTATTCACCTTCAAACCTTACGTATTCTATTTACGAAATTTTTTTATATGGTGATCTTAGGAAAATTGAATCGTGGTTTATCTGTCGTTGATACCTTAAAAATTATAAAAAATAACCAAGTTTCCGACGAGGAACTTTTTAAAGCCCAAGTTCTAGGCTGGTGTGTAGAATGGGTGGGGTTTTTTGTTTTATTACTTTAAAGCAAAATTGCATTTCTTAGTACTAACTTGTGATATTGTAATAAATATATTTATAGCTACAAGCGTTTTTCCTTGTAGCTGATGATATAATGGATCAATCAATTACACGCCGTGATAATCCTTGTTGGTATCGTATGGTAAGTGGCAGTAGATTGACTCTCAAATTTTGTCATTTAATTGATTCAATCAATATATCTTGAACGAAATAGGATGGTGTTGGTAATATTGCCATCAATGATTCCTTTATTCTCGAATCAGCTATTTATTTCTTCTTGAAAAAGCATTTTCGCGATGAACCATATTATATCAATTTAATTGAATTATTTCACGAGGTAAATTTTCTTATAAATTAATCGCATTTATTCTCCTTATTAATTAACCCTTAAATGCACTTTCTTATGTTTTTGTTATTATGTAATATATAGGTCACTTTACAGACAGAATTTGGCCAATTGCAGGACCTGCTCACTGCTCCCGAGGATCATGTTGATTTGAACAATTTTAGTATTGAAAAGTATTGTTTTATCAATATACTAATTAATACTATTAAGATTTATATTAAAATTTATATTGTTAATATATAGGCATAGATTTATTGTTATATACAAAACCGCTTTTTATTCATTTTATCTTCCAGTGGCATTGGCTATGCGAATGGTAAATGATATTATATATTGAATACTGTTGTATGTATCTTAAGCTAAACATATTATTATTACCGTTTACCATCTCTAACTGTTACTCAGGCTGGTATTGAAGAAGAATTAGCATATAAGCACGCCAAAGATATTCTTATAGTTTTGGGCGAATATTTTCAAGTTCAAGTAAATATTGTCACTATATATGTTTCGAAGCTCATAATAACAATGATCAATAGATAATGTGTGACTTCCATGAACTTTAGGACGATTATCTTGATTGTTATGGTGACCCCAGTTTTATTGGGAAAATAGGTACTGATATTGAAGATAACAAATGTTCATGGCTTATCAATCAAGCATTGGATAGAGCCTCTTCTGAACAACGTAAACTCTTGGATGTAAGTTGTTTATTGGTTGTTAAATGTTAATAATTTTATTACTTGGTAATTCATAACCAACAAAATGTAATCGACGAAAATTCAAGGAAAACTATGGCAAGAAAAATCCCGAAAGTGTCGCGATTGTCAAAAAAATCTACCGAGATCTCGAGCTCGAAGCACTTTTCAAAAAGTACGAACAAGACTCTTATTCACGTATTAACGATCTTATTTCGCAATTGGACGAGTCTTTGATAAACCGTGAAATTTTCACCACATTTATGGGCAAAATTTACAAGAGAACAAAATAATAATTTAAGCGTATACATAAAATTTGATTTAGAATTCACTAATAATATATCAATCAAATACTACTTTATTTTTATACGTTAATTATTGATTTATGTTGTGGCGTCTTTGTTATTCAATAATTGAAAGGCAGAAAAATATATATGACTCGCAAGTTGGGTCATAAATTTCATTAATAGAGAGAAGCTTGCGGGTAGGCACTAAAGGAAGGGACTATTTATAAAGTAAACGGTATTTCCAATCCTTCGTCTACATATTTACTCGCCAAATCCCAATAATGTTCCGACCTATATTTTCGCAAATAATCTCGAGCAAGTTTCTCCGTAGGACACGTTTTAAACCAGAATCCTTTAAATGAACGTTCCTTTGTGTGTCCTTCCCACAATAACACACATTTATTTTCTTTTGGCGGTTCTTTCGGATCCACGTCCATTGCTGGGTCAACGTTGCTGTTACTGTTGTCACCAAGGCGAGTAGTGTCTGACCAATTTATACGCCTAAGCATGAGCTTTTTGTAATTTTTAATGGATTTTGGTCCGCCTTCTACAACTATCACGCTGAAATTTGGGTTGATGATGACCGTTCCTGTTAGGCCAAGCTGTTGCGCGTTTTGATCGACTTTATATTTCATTTTTGGATGTGAAAGATCATTTACTCTGGAATTTAAATATTACATTAAATATAAAAATATATACCTTATCAATACATTATTATTTAATAAACTTACTTAAATACGCAAACAATCGTCGCTTTACTGGCATCTTCCAACATTTTTTGCTTCTTTTTCTCTCTTTTTTGTTCATCAGTCAACTTACGTTCTTCGTTGGCTTTCAAATGCGTTTCTTGACGTTTTTGCATCTCTTTTCTTACCTGAGCTTCAACTTTAGTAGGATCCTGGATTGCGTCATTTGTGAGAACGCGCATAAGATTGCTTAATTTAACTAAATAATAAAAGAATATTAATATTTTTGCTAAATAAAATACATACATAAATGTATATGTAAGTTTGAATAAAAAAACACTTTTTGGTTGATCAGGTGGTAATAATCCCAGTCGAATCTTATCTTGCTTCTCTTTTTGTAATTCCAATCTTTTTTGCTTTCGTAGCTTCTTTTGCTCCTGTTATGCAAAGTAAAGCATTTAATAATTAGTAACAAATACCAATAAGTGAAATCACTGATATCAATAAATTATCACCTTTTTAGTCAAGATCAACGGTTTTGGAGCTGGAAGATTATTATGACCAGGTGGTTTTATGGGTACCGGATGTTGAACATACATTGTAACTAGCGAGTCCTCATCGTCAATTTTCGTAAGACCGGCATCAATGTCATCATAAGTTTTGTTGGTAAGTAGTGGACTATCCCACCATTCATGCGATGGAGGTGCTTCTCTCTATTATTAAAGTTATATGAGATATATTAACAGAAAATATGTCTAGATTCATTTACAAAAAAATCTATAAACGAAATACCTTGATAGCTTTATCCGATAAATCAAGTTCCGACTCCATGCCTGCTTTTTTTACATTTTGCGCTATTTCCTCCTTCAATTTCTCAAGTTTAACCTACACAATAAAAGATCTCCGATTATAAAATATACGCATAAATAAAATAGAAATATTTCCTTTAAAATTACCTGTGCACGCATTTGATTTCCCAGCGCTTCAAATTTTCCTTTTGGTATAAATTTGAGTTTTTTGCGAGTACGTCTTTGAGGAACGATAGCTCCTGCTCCAGCCCGAGGATCATAATAAGGATTCTGTACGATAGCGCCAGCCTCTTCAGTGGGTATTGACGCGACTTTACTCAACTCTTGTTGCTTTACGGTTGCAGGAGTAGCTCGTTGATTTGCCTGTTGAGGCGAACAAAGAACAGCATTATAGTCTGGTCTGTAATGGAAAGAGAAAAATTTGTGCATTAAACGGAAACAACAATAATCCAATCTATTCCTAATTATTCTAGTTATAATATCTACCTTTACAGTAGCAAAGTTCGGCTTGGGAATTAAGGCAGAAGCTTTATTTATAACAATCTTTCCACTTTGATCTAAGAGAAGAGCAGGATGTGCTTCAACTTTAAGTCCTCCTTTGGCTTTGGCAGCTTCGTCTGAGGATTTCGCTAAAGAACTGGTTGAAGGCTGCATAATATTTAATATAACAATGAAAATTGCTTCGGATTTTATAAAATAATAGATTAAAATTGTAGATGTTAAGATTATAAAAAATTACCAAATAAGGATTTGCTTTCGACAAAGTTACTCTGACCCGCTCTTTTGCTTCCTGAATTTTCCGTTGCAAATCAGGGTCAATTGACGCACCTACACTCAAGTTAGAGGTATTCATGTTTTGAGAAGTGGGGATCGGTAAAATATTCTGTGGTAGAGTTGTTGTAGGAGTTGACGCCTGGGATAGTTTAGGAAACGCGGCGATTTTAGCAGCTATTTCGGCACGTTTTCTCGCTAGAATTTCTTCCATGTTGTGTTGTCGTTAGTAAAAAGGGCATCCACAATTTATGTTAAATAGGTTTTTTACTGTCACATGAATTACAGTTATTGAAATTGGGTGATTAGAGAGAGGTGTGACTATAGAGAGGTTAATTGTGACAGATTAAAATGAAAATTAGGATGATTATAAAAAATGTGATTATAAATAGAAGTAATTATAAAGTAATCTGATTATATTATTATTTATAAAGAACTAAAAATTATTAATGAATAAATAATATTTAAGTAAATTATATTTATTTTTATAAAATATCATTTATATTATATAAATATTATATAATTTTTTTTTTACTTTACTTATTTATATTATATAATATATTATTTAATATATTATTATATAAATAATTCTTTTAAGTATTAATAATTAGATCCAAGTAATAATATAATAATCAAAAATAATACTGTTATAATATAGATTTTTATATATAATTTATTAATATTAGTTATTTTATACTTGCATTTTTATTAGATAATTATTTAATTATATTTTATTGGATAATAATTAAGATAATATTATTGGTAGATATTTTTAAATAGTTTTACAAGCATAATGTTTATAATAAAATTATCATAGCAAAATTAGCAAAACTATCATAGCAAAACTAGCAATGCTATCATGACAAAATTAATATTATAATATTAGTAAAAGTAGAATTTAGATCATAACAAAAGTATCATTTATAAAATCTCTAAAATATATAAAAGTAATGTATTTTAGTTAGAAATCAAGAAGTTAATAAATAAAATAAATAAAATAACTTAATAAATAATAAATAAATTAATGAATTAAATAATAATAAGATGAAATAATAATTTAAATATAATAATATTATAAATTAATAATCTTTATTAATAATATTTTATTTATTATCATACATTCCTTATATTATGATTTCAGATCTTATTTTAGCTAATCATATTATGAATACATTCTTGTTACCTATCTTTAATCTTATTATAATCATAATTTAATGTCTATTACATTATATTTATGATTATATTAGTCTTTTCTATCTATAATTAATAATATCTTTATTATATATTATTCTAGGCAAATATTATATATAAAGTTATTAACATATCACAAAATAATCTTTTTAAGAGGTATCAAAAATGATAACAATATATTAGAAATTAAATTTATTAATAAAATATAATAAAGATTAAAATTAAAATTTTCTCTTTATATTAAAATTATAATTTTATTAAGAAATAATTTTTATTTTTATATCAAAATAAAAGTTTATTAATTATAATTTTTTTTAAATTTTTCTGAAAAATTATTCTAATTATAAAGTTAATATAAAAATTTTTATTAATTAAATTTTATTTTTAATTAATAAAAATTTTTGCATCAACTTTATAATTAGAATAATTCTTTTAGAAAAATTTAAAAAAAATATATTATTTATTAATATATTTATAAATTTTAATATAAAAAGAAAATTTTAATTTTTATATATTTTATTAATAAATTTAGTTTTTAATATTTTACTTTTAACTATTATTATAAGTATTTTTTTTAATAAAATTTTAATAATCTTTTCTTATTAATAATAATTAAAAAAATTTAATAAATTAAATTTTTTATATTTAATAAAAAATTATTTTCTTTTTTTTATTAAATAAATTTAAATAAATATTTTTTAATTATATCTTTATTATAATTTTTTAATTAAATTTATAATTTTTTATTATTTTAAATTTTTTTAATAATATTTATATAAATATATAATCTTTCTATTATATAATATAAATTATTAAGAAATTCATATAAGAATCAAAATAATAATAAAATATTAATAAGAAATTATATAAAAAATCAAATCAAAAACTAATAAATTATTATAATAAAAATTTAAAACTTTATTATAATTATAATTATTAAAAATACAGAATAAAAATGGTATTTTTAAATAATAATTTATGATTATATAAATAAATAATAATTTATAATATATAAATACTTATATAATAATATCTTCAAAAAATATTTATTAATATATAAATATAATAATAATAATTATAAATGATAAATAAAAATAAATAATATATCTAGCTATTTTAGTAAAATAAGAAAAAATAAAAATTTTACTAAGAATATTATTTATAACTAAATAATTCAAGTTATTATATAATTTATTTTGATAAAATTAAATAATTATAATATAATAAATAATATATATAATAGTATAATTTATAAATTATTTATTATTAAATTTATTATAAAATATTTATTTTTAAATTAATAAAGCTTTTAAAATAATTAGCTATTTGATATACATACCCCCACAATATATTACTGGAAATTTCAAAAATGAAACTATCATTTTAGAACCTAATTTCTTGTAATCTAGTGATCTCATTTAAATAAAGATATTATCATAAGATTTGTGAAGTCGCGACAAATTTAATAGAGTATTTTTATTTAAATTGGATCATTGAATTTTGAGATATTGGATTTCAAAGTGGCAGATTTGTTTTTAGGATTTCCGGTAATATATTATAGAGATGTGTATTATATTTAATTTTTTAATATTAAAATATTCTTTTTAAAATTTATATATATTATAAAATTAAATATTATATATTTTATTATAATATTTTTTAAATTTTCTATATTTTTTATATTTATAATTTTAATAAATTATTTTTTTTTATTTATTTAAATATCTTTTATAATATATATTTTTTTTCTTTATATAATATAAAAAATTTTAACTTATTAATTATTTTAATTTTTTATATATAATACAATATATATAATATTAATATTAAATATATATAATAATAATTACTTAATTATTATTATAATATATATTTAATTATTATTAATTATTTAAGTATATATTATTTAAATATTAATATTATCTATTTATTAATTTATTTTACTTATCTTATTTTCTTTTATAATTTACTTAATATTTTTTAAAATTTAATAATATAATTTAAATTTATTAATACCTTATTTAGTAGTTTTATTCTTTAATTTTTTATTATATATATTCATATATCTATATAATTTATAAATAAATTTATAAATATTAGTTATAAATGTATTATTAAGAGTTTTTGAAATTTAATTTAATAAATTTATATAATTATAATTATATATTTTTCTAGTTTTTTACTTTATAAAACTTTAATAATATTATATTTATAATAAAATTTTAAATATTATTTTAAAATATATTTTGTTTTAATAATTACTTTCTCTAATAATAATTATTATTCAAGAAATTAAGCTATAATAATATAATTCTTTTTATATAATAGTTTAATCTTTTCAAGTTATCATTAATAAATTTTTCAGAATAATATTTACATATTAAATAAATTTTTTTATAAACTAAAGATTATATTTAAGTATTTATTTTATATTTTTTAATTTTTTTCTCAACTATTTTACTAGATAATTATTATTAATTATATATATTTTTTGTTATATTTATTAATATATTAATTATTATATATTTTAGATTATATTTTTCTAGAACTCAAGTTTATTTTCATAATAATCAGTATATTTTCTATTATAAATTATAATTTATTAATTAATTAAAGCAAAAAATATTAGTATATCCAGGATATAATATCTTAAATATTAAAATTATTATATATATAAGCTAGTTTAATATATATTCTGCTCTTTAATATAATTAGTAAAAAATTTATAGATTTATGACAAATCTGATAAATATATTTCTCTGTAAATATAGATATTCACATATTATGATTTAGATTATTAATATAATCTTTGGTATTTTTTATCAAATATTTCTCTAATATTTATCAATATTTCTTGAAAATTGAAAAGAGAATTATAGGAATCAACTTCTTGACTATCTTCTTATATACTTGCTATATAAAATAATAGAAAAAAGAACTTTAGTAGAACTTAAGATTGATTTTTAACTTTGAAAATAATTAAAGATAAGTATCTTTTAGAATATTTTGGATAGTTTGTTGATGGCGACTAATTTTTTAATTAATTTAATTTATTCTTGTGCTTGATTATCTAAAAATTAATAAAGATAGTATATACTATTAAT